GCCAACGAGAGGAAATGCTGCAGCCCTGCTGCCTTTGGATGGGAACTGTGCCACATCACAGAAAACCAGCACAGGAGCGTGGGCCAAATGATGCAAGCACCAGCCCCTCACAGGAGAGAAGCTGCTAATACAGACCTGCACTTCATGTACTTTAAATAACAGAGGGAAAGAAAGGACAAGAAGCGAGCAGGTGGCAGAGATGCAGCTCAAGCGCTGCCCATCTCATGTGTCCCTCTCATTTCTGACCCATTGCCTGTCACTCGCACCATGCTGGGAGCTCTTGGATGAGCCACAAACTGCCCCATGCCGAGCCTGCCCCAGTGTGATGCAGCACACCTCCCAGGAAGGGACTCTGCACCCCTTTTCTAACCACCAGTTTGCAGTTAAACACGTACCACCCTCACACCCCTCCGCCACAAGCTCCCTGGGGGCTCATCCCCATCCCTGTGCCAGCACAAGGCTCCCAACAGCTCCTCCTGCCCTTTATCTGTGCAAAGCACATCCCTCCCCATGTCCTCCATAGGGGCTTCCTCCAGGCAGGCAGCAGTGAGCAGGGGTGTCTGACAACAGACAATCCCTTTCACTAGGAAGCCAAACGTCAGGGTTACATCGCATGGAACACACAGGGAATAGAACACACCTAATTTATCTGGCTCGTTATTTTCAGACAGCTAGGCTCCGGAAGACCTCCATCAAAGACAACAGCTTCTTTGTCATAGGAACTCTCTTGGCCTCTGGCTAGCCCAGAGCCCTTTGCTCTCCAACACTGATCCCCAACTGTTCCTGCTCAAACCTGACAGTTCCACCACAACTTTGGAGCAGCAAATCCTCATTGAACACTGAAGTGGTTTTGACTGCACAACCAACCACAAGAACTCCACAATGAATAAACAGTGATTATGCATTTTCATTTTTTTTCCAAATTTGGGTTATTTTTTTCCTATGGGAAAAGGAAAAGTAGCAAATCCATCACACGCCAGCTAGAGTCCCCACTTGCCCCAGGACATGGAGACACTGGATCCGCTCCCAGTTTACCTCCTTGTCTCATTCTCTGAGACATTCTACCTGAAGCATCCTCAGGAAAGCAGCGTGGCCTTTGCTGGGAAATTCAGAGCAAACAACAAAATAGTAAGGACTGTTGAAGTGAGAGCCACTTTTACTGCACTATCCCATGCATTCATCAGGGTGCCCGGCTCAGCTCCTCATCTGCAAACAGGGCCACTCAGCCCAACCTCAGAGGGGTGGTGTGAAAACACACGCCTTGAAAGCTGCCTCCAGAACCCTGCCAGACAGGGTTAGATTATTTAGGACTGTACATACCAGTTCTGATACAAACAGACACTCTAATAGGGATGCAGACGAACGCAGCCATATAAAGAGAAATAAAGGAAGGCTTATGGTTAAATCAGAATAGTTTTCCTACTGCAGCAACACAGTTGCTGTGTATCTGTGATGTAGCCTCCATCAAAAAGCCCCTGGAAACGCAGATGCACCCCCTGTTAACGTCAGTGAAATGCCTCCTGTGGACTTAACCATCCTCAGATCTGCGCCTTGCACAAGACAGCAAGTACGTGTGTGGCACCGGCTGAACATGTACCACAATTAGCTTTAAAAATGTAGGATTTCGGCTATTGTTTCAGTTGCCTGCCCCTGGGGATCCTCAGCATTAGTGTAGTATTGATGATGCTAAATGGGGTTTTCAACGAGCTGCTTTGCAGGCTTGCGAATGCCAAAACAGCATTTCAACCCATTAAACTTCACAGACGAAACAATTTCTTCTAAAAATAATCATCAGTTCTTCCCACCAGTAAAAATAAAAGCCTGGCCAATTCCTACTGTGCCAAGTTTGCAGCAGGCTTGGGTTTTATGGCTGGGCTTATAAAAAGCAGGTTTCTAATGGAAACTCCGAGAAGAGCTGAGTTATAGGTGAAGAGCTGCCACCCTACACAACTGCGCTGCCAGCAGCCGAATGCATTCCACCTTGCTAATCCCGAACTTTCCTATTCAGAGGAAAAGAGGAGATGCCTTAACTCCTGCTAACATCCTCACCATTATGTCCATGCAAATACAGTCACGAGGCAATTACCAGCCCAGCCATTGTAGGGCTGACAATAGCTTGTGGAGCCCTTTGGAGGGGAAACAAATCCCCTCAAACTTCTCCAGGATTTTAAGTCTCATTAGTATAAAGCAGTTATGCAATTAATGAGGGGTTTAGCATATTGATTTGCATCGGATTATATGAATTAATGACACATGTAGCGGGACGCGATGGGAAGATGAGCAGCTACTGCGGGAATTCTATTACCACAACACATGAAAGAGGGGCACAGGCACCCCAGATTTCATGATGGGAACGAAGCTGCTCCCACTCAGCTCCTATGCAACCATTGGGGAAGCAGAAATATTACCTGGCTGTCAAAATGGCTTGAAAACCTGAGGCAGATTTGCCAATGTAAGGGCTAAGAGCTGCTTTTTAAAGGAAAACCCCTGTTTTAATAGTGGCAGCAGTCTCTGGTTGGAGGTGAAATGGAGATGGATTGCAGGGGAGACCACCAAAGTCCATGGGTGACTCTGCTCCTGCTGGGACATGGGGCAAACCAACAGGCTCCAGCATGAAAAGCAAAGATGTGGGGAAAGGAAGCGAGGAACACAGGGCAAGCTGCCATGAGCAGGCTGGAAGAAGCCCAAAAGGGCACAGGCTGTTGAGGTACAGCAGGTTCAGGGAGGAAAAAGCATCTTCACCAGCCACCCACCAGCACCCAGCCTACAGCACATGGAGAGTAAAGAGAGGAAGGCAACGCAATGTTAGGACATGCCATCAGCATCCTCCAGAAACCTCCCCATGGCTGCCTGCCCTTCCAGGGCCCTGGCAGGTCCCCAGCTCTCCCTAACAGCCCAAGGGACCACTGGAAAGGATGGTCCATGCCTTCAAGAGAGGGACAAAAGGATGGGCCATGCCCAGGCTGCCTTCCCCTCCTCCAGGGCCAGCAGCCCCTCCTCGCACCAGCAGTCACACAAAGGGCTCTCAACCCATGTAATCCATTAGATACAAATTACAGCAATTTAAGCACACTTGACCCAGAATTACAGCAAGCCCATAAAGAGCTGCGTCTTCCCAGGCAATTTACACTGTTACAAGCCCTCAAACAAACCACAGCAGAGGATTACAAACCAAAGAGCAGCAGCAACAAAAGAGCCAACCAAACCCAGAGAACATGATGCTTGAAACAGCATTATCAAGACATGAAAACCATTACATGGGGGAGCTCCCATTCAGGTGGTCCTAAAGATGTCACTATTGCACAGGCGTGCAGGTACCTTACACCATTCACCCGCAGCCACTTGAGAGAAAATGCTGTGGAACACAGAGCTCCTAAACCGTTTGCCTACGAGATGCCATTCCCTGGCTCTGAGCAGCAGCCGAGCCAGCCTGCGGGAGCCAGGCACTGTCCTCTCGGAGGTCATTTGCTGCCAGAGGGGCATTTGCTGGCAGTTCTTTGCTGAAGACCTTTTAGGGGTGAGAAGGGGTGTTTGAGGAGGCAGCAGTGGCTTTGGCACAGGGATGCTGCCCTAACCCAGCCTGCGTGCGGTGCTCGTCCTCCTGGCTGCTTCTTCACCAGCTGCTGTGGGATGTTCAGAGCTTTAACCTGCCCGAGGGGAGACTGAGATGAGCTCTTAGGCAGAAGCTCTTCCCTGGAAGGGTGCTGAGGCGCTGGCACAGGGTGCCCAGAGAAGCTGTGGCTGCCCCATCCCTGGCAGTGGTCAAGGGCAGGTTGGACACAGGGGCTTGGAGCAAGCTGCTCTAGGGGAAGGTGTCCCTGCCCGTGGCAGGGGTTGGGACTGGATGAGCTTTAAGGTCCCTTCCAACCCAAACCATTCCATGATACCAAGAGGCTGCACCTTCAAAATGAATGCACCAACTTGCCCAGGAGGATAAAAGCTGGGTTGGTTGGGCCAGGGAGGTGCAGGAGGATACTCCTTGCTGCCCTGGTTATTTGTTCCAACCACCCAGACAGCACAAAATGAGGTTACAGGAGACCCATGATGTGCTCTGCTTACCCCCTCACTGCTCCCTGCAGTGTTGCACTGGAGGCAGGTTGGCAGGAGGGATCCAGCACAGTGGTTCAGGAGAGGCACAGGGCTGGCAAAGCAGCTCCTTTCAAGGGCTGGGGTTTTCATTCAGCCCTTAGGCTCATTCCCAATTCCATTGATTTTAATTATTAATTCTATGCCCAGGAATTTTTCTTTAAATCATCCTCATAATATCAGTGATTATGTGGGAAACAAGAAATACTTGAAGGAAGGGAGCCCATGCCTTCCTCGAAGCCAGCAGCATGCCTCATCCCTACCCATATGGTTTAGTTTACAAGCCGATTTCACACACAAACACAGAATCAAAGCAGGAACACAACTTTTGATCATCCTACAGTGATGTTTACTCTCGTTTCCTGTAGCCCCAGGTGACAAATCTGCCCTTTATACAGCAGAGGATGGTCGGTGCTATTAACAAAGTCAACCGGACACACTCAAAACTGACCGCAGCTCTTTGCATTGGTGGCTTGTACCAAACTAAGGAATGACAATTAGTAAGCAAGCAGCTGTAAAATGATAAGTATAAATGCAAAAATGGGTTCTTTTTCCTGAGCAGACCCGCTCCAAAGCAGCATTTACAAGCAACTCTCTTACGTATGAACACTTCTGCCAAGAAGGAGGATGTTGGAGATTCAGCCCCTCCGAACACAAGGGCTTTTGTTCCCCCATTCTCTGAGTGCTGAAGAAGTTTAAGTCGCTTTCCTTTCTTTTTCTTCATTTAACTTTGCTGGCCCGCCAGCTGGGTGGAAGCCAGCGGGGTTATCCAGGCAGCCCTCACTGTGATGTATTTACAAGGGGAGTGCATCTAAGGTTTGTTTATTTCAGGATCCAAATTCAAACGGCTCGAACCATTTAACTAATTAAAGGGCAATCAGAAAATGCCATGAAACCAAACAAATCAGGAAAAGTCATGGAAACCATCAGCAATATTTAATGCAGAAATTCGCTTTGTTAGGGAACTGAGCTGAAAGAAAACAGCTGGATGGAGTTCAACCCTCTAAATTAAAAACCATCTAACAAGGTCTATAGGGATAACTCTTTCAGCTACATATTGGAAACCAGATTCACTTCTACCAAGTCCGTGTAACAGCACTCAAAGCTAGAAAGGAAATTCCTCAGAACTGAGGTAGTTTCTAAGCATCAGCACATTTCCCAATGCCTCGCAAGGCAACTTCGCTATTTACAATCCATTTTTTCCCACACATAAATTGAGAATTTTCCCAATGTTATAGTTCCATGATTTAGCTTCTAAAGAAAAATAATCCAGCCAGAATCTCCCTACCTCTACTAACAGCATGTTTTAATAAATAACTGGCTACTTCTAGTAAAATTAAGCCTCCAGCATTGCTTATACCGGCCAAGAATACTCCTCCTTTATAGCTTTGCAGCAATTTGGTGTGAAAATATAAAGTTGAATGTAATGCTGACCCTGAGCTAACAATAATGCTTCAATATAAAAATAGAAAATCATCCTTACAACACGAGGGTGGAATGGAGCACAGCCTCCCTCTCCGGATTGCTCCCCCGGCATCCAGCCAGACCCAAAGACTACCTAAAGCAAGAGGAGATGTGCAGAATGATTTTGAGTCTTTCCAAAGCCTTTTCTTGTTCTCCCTAAACTCTTTTAAAAGCTATTTCATCTCTTGTCTTAAAAAATATACATTTCTTTTATCAGTGAGTTGCTGCCATCCACCACAACACTGTTCCAACTGCAGAAGCGCAGGTAAGGAGAGGAGGGTGTCTCGGGTGATGCCGAAAAGCTGCAGTCACTGGGAATTGGCTCCCAGAAAATCAAATACGTGGAAAAGGAGGAGTTTCAGCCCTACCAGCTCCAACTCGGATTTGCCTGCACCAGTGCCATGGGGCACTGCTCACCTGCTCCTTTCCTCTTGTCCCCCATGGGAGAGGAAATCACAACTCTTGCACAAACCAATCCAACACCCCTCCCCTTCCCTCCCACTTCGCATCCCTCAAAACCAAACCAACACTAAGAGCCGAATCCAGCATTCACCTAACACATTTGCAGACGAGATACATGTTGGCATTTGGATCTGTGAGACGACAAGGTGCTTCCAACTGAACAAGTTTAATGCCTTATTCCCAAGGGGGATGCACGTCAGGAACTGACCTGCAGAAGTTACAGCTAATTGCAAGGATCCCGGGGGACAAACGACAACTCTTCCCAGTGCCTGAAGAACCGGAGCTCTCCGTAGTCTCTTCCAATTTCACCAAACCTCTTGTTTCTTTACAAGTACAACCTGCTCCTGGCATTAATGCCCTGTGCAAGCAGGCCACTTGGCACACTGACCAGCTCTGCCTTTGCCTCTTGTTATACCGCAGAATAAAGGCAAATCACTTCCACCTCTTTCCAGATAAGGCAACCAACATAATGTGGATAAATGGGAAGTTAACTACATGAAACACGTTTTCTGCTTGTTGGGCAGTTGGTTTTTCTTTCCCCCCATTAGATAACATGATAAATAAAACCTGCTTCTGTACAGATAGTTCTCATTTCGGAAACACAGACTTGTTACAGGCCAAGGAGACCCCAGGGCTCTTTCGTTTTTGTAGGAAACATGGTAAAATAAAATAAAATTAAAAAAAAAAAAAAAAGAAAAGTGATAAAGACACAAATGCAGAGCTAACTACAGGCTTGTATATACATTTCTGTTATCCACCTCTCACATGGATTCTTGGTGAACGGGACAGACTGGTACCCCCCGGTCCTGTTATTCCCAGCATACCAAGGGAAAAAAAAATAACCAGTATCTTAAAACCAGTGGCAACATAGTAAAAACTGTACACCGTTGTCCATTAACTTAAAAAGCCAAGTCCCTAGATGGTATAAAAGTGAAAGCAGGTGCCTTCTAACTTTGATAATAAAAGTCTTTCCCCCCCCACCCCTACGCTGCACAATTATCTCCATTGTCTTTGCACAGCCAAGAGGAAGATGCTAAGGAGCAAGGCTGCTTGTGATAGACTGCCCCGGGCAGCAGCAGAAGTGTTCGCGTTCTTATCGCTCTTGGTGGAGCTCCCGGTGACTTCGGTGGCGTTGAACTCGAACTCCGAGGAGCACTGCTGGGGCTCGCAGCCGCTGCCGCTCTCCTCCCCACTGCTCTCCTCGCCTGCGGGCACAAACACGCGTGTTACCCTCCCGTGCGGGGCTGCGCGGCTTCGGGTAGGGGCGGGGAAAGGGGAGCAAGTTGGACTTGATGAGCTGGAGACAAGAAGGATCCCTAAGGGGAGACCTGAGAGCAGCTCCAGTGCCTGAAGGGGCTGCAGGAAACCTGGAGAGGGGCTTGGGACAAGGGATGGAGGGACAGGCCAAGGGGAATGGCTTTAACCTGCCCGAGGGGAGACTGAGATGAGCTCTTAGGCAGAAGCTCTTCCCTGTGAGGGTGCTGAGGCGCTGGCACAGGGTGCCCAGAGAAGCTGTGGCTGCCCCATCCCATCCCTAGTAACATGCAAGGCCAGGTTGGATGGAGCTTAGAGCAACCTGATCTACTTGAAGATGAAGACAGGACAAGGGGTAATGGGTTCAAACTTAAACAGGGGAAGTTTAGATTGGATATAAGGAAGAAGTTCTTTACTGTAAGGGTGATGAGGCACTGGAATGGGTTGCCCAGGGAGGTTGTGAATGCTCCATCCCTGGCAGTGTTCAAGGCCAGGATGGACAGAGCCTTGGGTGACATGGTTTAGCGTGAGGTGTCCCTGCCCATGGCAGGGGGGTTGGAACTGGATGATCTTAAGGTCCTTTCCAACCCTAACTATTCTCTGATTCTATGTCCCTGTTTACTGCAGGGGAGGTGGGCTAGCTGACCTTTAAAGGTCCCTTCCAATCCAAACCCTGCTATGGAAACAACCCTCCTCATACACCCTGTCTTAGACACTTGCTCCCACCCTCTTTACTAACACACTTCCTCACAGCTGACGCTTATCCAGCTGCCCCATGTCAGCCTGAAATCCAGATAATAAGGGAAAACAAGGAAAAGCAAAAGGCAAACAACAGCAAACATACTTATGTCAATGAAGTCGACATCATTCCCACTATAGGCATTCTTCAGCTTGTTGGTCATCACCCGCAGAGCCATGATTTGCCGGCGAATCACCATGTCTGGCTTGGTAATATCAACTTCCACCTCGGGGTTATTCACTTGACTTGCTAAGCCGTTCCCAGTCACCGCAAAGTCATACCTGCAAAGAAACCATTCCTGCTGGTACCAGAGCTAAGAATCCTCCCAGAGCCCTTCTCTGCTTTCTTACCCCACCTTCCCTCCCTGCAGCCTGAACAACCTGTGGAATTAAACACGGGTTTCATACAGCCTGTGCCACAAAGGCAGGGGAAAGACAATTTTCTCCCCAACTTGAAAAGAGAAGGAGATATGGGGTTTGCAATAATAATGGCTTACAATAGCATAAATCAGCTTGCTGCAGGCCACAGAGCAAAACAAGCTGCTGAGGTGCCCACATAGGTGGCACTTTTGGGAAAACAACCTTTGGGGCTACAGTTATCCCAGGGAAACCTGTAGTAACTGTTGGGGGCAAGAATATCATTCTGCCTTTGCATAATGGACCTTAACCACCAAGCTGGGGTATTAAACGTGTACTTCTCACCACGCAGCCATGAGATGCAATTTCCCTAATAACCCCAGCAGGAGAAACATCGGTGATGCTGAAGGTAATGTAACTATGGCAGAGAAGAGCTGAGCTGCTGGTCTGAAGAGTGCGTGTTTGGGTCTGATCACACCTGTGGCCTCTTGGCTTAAAAGAGAGACTAAGCAACAAAACCCAACAGAATAAGTCTCCTGAAATGGGTATTTCATCTTATTGAGCAGGGATATGACACTTTTTCTCCCTCCTCCAATTACCTGACTTACACGAAAAATCATCACTTATGAGAAGAAAACATTTCTTTTCTTAGTTATGGTGCCAATAGCAGTACCATGGGAGAGAAAAGACTATCAACAGATCCTGGAGACCAGGCAATGAGTTACAAGCATACATCCAAAGGACTCAAATGCACCCCTGTATATGGAAAGGTTGTTTATTACTACTATAAGTGATGATGGTGGTTTTGTTATTATTTGTGATCAATATTATGTCTCAAAGTAGTCAGAGAGCCAAAAGAGAAACCAGAGCATGGAAAGCAACTGAACTTTGGGCTTACTGGAGCCACAGAGAAAAGGGGAACAGCAAAGCAAAACATCTTGCACAACCCACATAGGATGTCCAGCCTCCTCTCTGTGTCCTTGCCCCCTGCTGCCAAGTCTCCATCTCTCCTCCTTACTGGGGCCAGCTTTGCATGAACACTGGGGAGACCTGCTGTGAAAAGCCCTGTACAAGCTGCTGAACAAGCCCTCAGGGGGGCAGAGCCATTCATTTCTTGTTGCAGACACTCAAACCATCACCCTGGCCAAGCAAGGCAGCTTCAGGCACCCACAAAAGGGTGCAAAGTGGATGTGGGATGGCTCAGTCCTGTGCCCCAAAACTACCAGGGGTGAAACCTGCTATTACTTAGAAAAACTGCTGGAACAGCCTGGATGACTGATTTGTTGGGTTTTTTTTTGTTTTAATGGAACATCTTGGATATTGCTTATTTCCTCAGTAAGCAAACAGAAAAAAAACACTTCTATTTCCAAACTCAAACTCCAACAGTTACATAAACCATATGACAGAAAACCTTTGGCTCATTCATGTGTTGGCAATTTCTTCCTTACAAGAAAAAAAAAGAAATAAGGTTTGTAACTATTTTTCCATAAAAAGTGTGCATGGAAAGCACTGCCCCCCTCATGCCACTGACCTCTGCAGTGGAACAGAGGACACCTGACCAGCCTCCATCTCCCCTTGCTCAACTGGGCAACAACACGAGCATCCCCACTCTGCAGCCGTGATACAGGACTTTGTATAAATCACCTCCCCAAACCCATGAGCAACCACTAACAGGGAGGTTTAAGTCCGAGAGGAGATGCCATATCTGGGTATCTATACTCAGCTCTCTCCTTTCAAATAAACCACCACGCAGAGCTTGGACAACCCTTTAGCTTGGTGCTCAAGCTCTCCCATCCACAAGAAAAAGAAGGGATAATGGCAGCAGCCTATCTCAGGGGAGCTGGGATCAATCCTGTAGGAGAAGAGCACTTGGGGAAAGACTGGGGTGAGAGGGAGAGAGTTAAGCAGGGGCAGCAGCATGGCCAAACCTGCTCTTGGCGCTCCCATTCCAGCACTCATTCTCATTGACAGTGCCTACAGACATCTTTTCATCGTTGCAAATGTTGCCAGGGAGAGATGACCAAAACTTTTTGGCTTGCTTCAGCTTCTCTTTCACATCAGTAACCTATTAAATAAAAAAAAAAGAAAGAAAACAGGACATAATCCAGAATACCAAACGCTCATTAAAAGTGAAGCTGGAAAGGTATTTTTTATCACAACAGACGTGTATAGGCCAGATCTTCAGGCTGCGTGTTTTGATGGTTGATTTACTTCTTTAATACAAAATTAAACACCGCTCCTCACACATTACTCATGAGCCAAGCCTTTAAAACAGGCCCTTTTCTGACATAGAAGCGCTGAGGTAATTCACGTCTAGAGCCATGGGCAGATTACACCCCTCCGAGAGCCGAGACAGCCAAGGAATATTAAGAAACCCTATAAATTACAAGTGGAAAATTACACAGGGGTGCGAAGCAGGACCAGGCACTCACCAGCCGGTCCAAGCTCGTGCCGGCGGCTGTGGTTGGCCTCTCCTCCGGGTTGTAGGGCCTGAAGCGAGCACCGAAACCGCTTTCGGAGATGGAGCGCGCAGCCCGGCCCTGGGCAAGGGGTTTTGGCTGGCCGCATCCCTGGAAAACCTACACGAGAGAAGGAAAGGGTTTTATGAGGTGAGGTCACAAGAGCCTCCCTTCTGCACGCTCCCACCCAGCCCCTGCCTTAAATAATGCACCAGCTGTATACAGACTTGAAAGGGCATTAAAGAAATAACCCATTGATGAGAACAGGGAAATAGAACACAGTGGATGAATAAACCAAAGCGTCCCCTTGGCCCATTTACCTTCTGGGACACCTGCATGCTGTTCTCCTGCATGTTCATGATGGCATCTGAAATCTTCACATCAATGGGGTCCATGACTGACTCGATATTGAAGGGACCCTCCAGCCTCTCTGCTACCAGCAACATCGAATCTAACACAGAGAGAAATGAGGGATTTTAATGGAGGAGCTTCAAGACTAACAGGTAACAAGGACAACAGATGGAGCACACAGATGTTCACCACCACAGCGTTGCTTCTGACCGGCACACATAGGACAGTTAGGGTTGGAAAGGACCTTAAGATCATCCAGTTCCAACCCCCCTGCCATGGGCAGGGACACCCCACAGTAAACCATCTCACCCAAGGCTTCATCCAACCTGGTCTTGAACACTGCCAGGGATGGAGCATTCACAGCCTCCCTGGGCAACCCATTCCAGTGCCTCACCACCCTTACAGGAAAGAATTTCCTCCTTATATCCAATCTAAACTTCCCCTGTTTAAGTTTGAACCCGTCACTCCTTGTCCTATCACTACAGTCTCTAATGAAGAGCCCGTCCCCAGCATCCCAGTTTGCTCCATTACCAGAGCCATCACCAGGCACTTCCAGGCTGCCAGCCCCGAGCTACAGGCTCATATACATCAAAAGCCATGTTAAAGGAGAGAGAACCATCGCAGCCTGCCAACAGGCAGCCTGTAATCAGCTCCTCCCATTAGAACAAGCATTACTAACACCCTCCTCTCCATCCTCAGTTATTAAAGGATGTCTTGTGTCATTTGTTTTTCAAGACTGCTTTCAAAGCCACTGGCTTCCTCATGGTGCTCCTGAATGCAGGACACCAATGGGAAAGGGCTCAAGATGACCATCATTACCAGCTCTCCCTAATGGAAAGCTACAGGCTTTGCCATGCCTGGGGAAGCCAAGGGATTGCACGGACAATTTGCACCAGGGAGACTGCATGAGACCAGGGTAAATGCTGTTTCTATACATATATATACATACACACACACACACATATATCTCTCTGTATATACACACCTCATTGTGCACTGATGATGTCTTTGGCACACCTCTAGGCAAGGGGAGATGGAAAAGTCCCCCAGCCAACACTAGGTCATTCCTCCCGTGCCGACACGCACGTCCTCATCAAATACATCATTAAACCCAGCAGCTACTGAACATCCACTGCTTCCTCTGGGAAATTACTATTGGCATTAAGGCTTTTGCTCTGCATTGCATTTAAGCCCTCTCTCTGGTTCTCCTCTAGAAGGTGCCTCCAGGTACACACCTCCTGCTAAGCACTCCCCTCTCCTTGCCCATCGCAACCTTTATTTCACATCAGTTTTCACCACGGTACCTCCACCCCAAAGCACACTGTTTGCTCGTCTCCTCTCCTGCATCACTTCATGATGCTCCGCACAAACTCATCGTTCCCCAGTTGCATTTAATTCTTCATTTTTTCCTAGCCTGTGTGATGTAGGAGGCCAGGGCACAGCCTGTTTCTTCACTCTAACCCTGAAGAAACCCTTTCCTGAGGAGCTCCTCCCCACTCCTGCTCCCTTCCATTAAGGAGAAATGGGCATTTCCCATTTCTGTTAATTTCTCTTGCAAAGTTTTTCTCATGATGTTTATCCTCCCAGTGCAGAAGGTACTTTCAACAAGCAGAAAACTGATGGGGGCTCTGGCTACCTCTTAAAGCCCTATAAAGACATTCCATATACTGCACAATTTAGTAACAGCTCTGCCTTAGTGCCCAAGCCATGTTAAACTACACTAAAAAAAGCCATAAACTGATGACAAATAGAAAACTAAGCTACTTTTGCATTTAAAATAGGTAATAATGGTAATGATAATAATAATTATTATTAATGTTATTCAAAACCCCATAAACTGCAGATACCTTCCCAGCCTGTAAACCCACTTTTTAAAGACAACCCAACTCAATATTGTGACGATTTGCTGGCTGTTGGTTAAAGGTCTATCAGCTGATCAACCCCATCCTAAGCCCCAAGGTGCTTAGGAGGAGCTGGAGCCCCCAGGAAGCCTCCTCATCCCGCAGGCACACAGCACCAGCATCAATGACAGAGCTGCTGCAGGGCATGGCTAGAATTTAGCCATCAGGGACTACAAACAGGTCTGAACTAAATGCATTAAAAAGAAGAAGGTGGGGGGGGGAGGGAAAGAAGGTAATAACAAATGAAACAAAGAGTCTTAGACTGTATTGTGGTGGGCTCCAATAAAGTGATGCTTCAAATCTCTGAGTAATGACTGCTAGCATGAATATACCATTGTGCCGGAGGGGAGAAAAATGCTTTTGATGTGCTACCAAATGGAGACTTTTTGTAAACAAGTGGAGCACAACTTAAATGTGTTCATCACTGTCAATGCTTTTGGGGGTTTTCACACGCATAAAGAACATCCCGGCCCGGCTTGGGGGAAGCTGCTCATTTCAGATAAAAATATTATGAGGGGACAGAGAATGAAACACACAAAAACGCAGAGTTTCAACCGAAACAGGAAAACCCGACCCAAAAATCATTCCATTTTGTCACTACTTCATTCTCCGAGCGGCCAGGAAAGGCCGCAGATCAATAAAGTGTTTGTGAAAGCCTGAAAGGAAACATAAACCCCAATTCTTCTGGCTGTTTGGCATCTTTGTAAACTTTGAGCCGGGCAGGCCATCCACAAGACCATGGGAATGTAGAGCGAATTGGGCCCTTTGTTAGCAGGGGTGCCATGGTGTTCCGTGTATCACAGCCCAGGAATGCAGCCTCCGCTTTGACTGCCCATAGAGAAAATGCATTCGGCCTCCAGCAGAGCTGCCAAAGCTGCCGAGGAAAGATAAGGAGAGTAATAATTGGAGCGGGGATTGATACTGGCAAGTAAGGCTAAAGGAAATAAACTTCCATTAGAAAGAAAGGAGGAGAAAGAAAAAAGGAAAAGGGGGGGGGGGGCTCCACCTCATCCACAGCTTTGATTCTGAAGGCATCCTGCAAGCTCCTACCTCCCACCAGGAGCTGGCTGGTGTCCCCACCACGGTCGTGGTAAGCAGTGATTCCCCCCCAGCAGCCACGTCTGACATCCATAAGGTTGGCTGGGGCTCAGGATAGCGCTGGCATCACAGCACACAAGAGGGGAGGCACGCTGCACCAACACCAGAAATGAAGCTTCCGTGCAACTCACCTCTCCCAGAGTGATTTTCCCATTACTGGGAGAGAGGAGTTGATTACAAATATCAGTGATTTTTTTCCCAAGCTCTGGTGCAAAATAATTGCTATTTATAAGCCATAGTGAGGTGCTTCACAAAAAGGAAAGTCTGGCAGAGTGAAAAATGCACTGAGGCCATTTATTACAAACACACAGCATGACAAAGAGTGTTTCCTCCCTGTGATGGGGAGATGGAAGTGGATTTAAGGAGGGAAGCCCCCCCCCCTCCCAACCCACACCACATAGCACCATCCCTTAAAGACCCTTTTCCTCCTGCATACATTTGTCCTTGCTACTGGCATTGAGACAATCCTTGGCAACAAAGCACCTCGCTCTCATGAAGGCAAGCAATTCTTTGGCATTGTGGCCCCAATAATCAGAAACCCACATCTTCAGCCTCACTGTCTGACTTGAAGAACAAAAGGCAGTTTTCAGTCTTAACCCCAAGATCTGATTTAAAAGGGGAGGGAAGGAGGGGGAAGACCTTGACCATTCATTAACAACAATCTTTTCTTAAAGGGGAAAAAAATGCTTTGCACACAAAGTCGCGCTCCAGATATGTATATAGAGAGCCTGAATTTGACATCTCCGAGCAGAATAAACCTTGGAGGGGAGGGGGGGAGATACATTTAAGAATAAAAATGATGAAAAGGCACTGGAGATTAACACTGTTCATTCAGGAGAGCTCCAACCCCTGCAACAGCTTGTTTGAAACAAAGTATACCCCTGTCTAATTGGGGTAATTGTGTCAGGAATAGAGGGCGAAATAATTCAAATAGCTAAATGGGAGAAAAGAGTACAATTCCCTCATTATTTCCCACACCATAACCTTAAATGGCACTTTCCAGAGGTAAGGAATTAAAAGTCTTCTTGTCCCAGAAAACCCCACAAACTTCACATCCGAGTTTGGAAAAGCTTTACATAAATGACTCACGTACAGACCCGCTTACACACACGTGAGCATTTCATACACACGTGCACCCATTCACATGTACTTGCAGCATGTGTTCCAAGTTCTCCCATTTAACTATCTTTAAATTATGTTGCTGTATTCCAAAGCGGGTTTTGACACACAATAAATCACTGCCATCGTTTAGCACTTCAACCCACTGAGCCCGTGCAGGTGGAGGGGGGTTTTCTTTGTTGGGGGGTGGGTTTGGAAGGGCAATTTGGGGTTTTCTTTATTGACTCATTTAAACCCTCCAGCCCCTACACGCAGGAGATGTGCGACACATGCCCTGCCCCAAACACCTGATCTATTTAATTTTACTTGCTCAAGGGGCAAATTGAGATAGAACCCACAAATCAGGACCTGGTCAGTTGTTCAACTAAAGATAAGGCAGCTTAAGTTCTTGGTGCACTGCAAGAACCAAGCAGATGCTCCCAATAAATGTAACGAAGCTTAATACCATACTCAAGCCATGAATGGACAAGAATTCCCAAGAGGAATTCCTCCCCTGGGGAGGAAGCCCTGCTAGAAGAAAGCTTTGCTTCCAACCTGGAATCGCAGTTATTTATATTGTCCTGTTTAATAATCTTCATTATTGCATGAAGTCGCTGATCAGTCTCGTGTGACAGGGCTCGCTGGCTTCCCCCAAGGTTCATTTTTAGCTGCATACCACCTACAGCAATTAGCTGCTTGTGCTTTTGTCTGGTTTCTGGCATTATGCCCTTCCCTTTCATGGGATTCCTCTTTTCTACTTGGACTAGATGTCTGCAAGTCTCCTGGCTTTGAGCTATTTCAGCAACAATTGTAGCTGAAATGCTTAATATTCTCATGAGAAAGAGGGCTGGGAGGAATGGAGGGGGGTGTCAGCCTCCCAGAGAACCACTTGGAAACCCAATTTAGTGTCACGTTGAACTCCCTGCATGGAATGCACAGGCAAAAAAAGGCCTTCTGAAAATAACACCCTGCACACATCCAGTTGGTGCAGGCAAAGCAAAAAGCCAGTGTGCAAAACAAGTCCTAAGATTTAGATCTAGCCTGAAATGCCAATTGTCAGCAATTTCCCTTCTTTTTAATCTCCCAGCTCAATGAAAGGGGGAGGCTTTCTAACAGCCTCTTTTTGCCATGTGCGGGACGGGAAGAGTACCACAGACAGTAGCAGCAGACACTTCACATGTGCACTTCATCACACATTAACTGGAGTGAAGTGAGCGCTCCCAAAGGATGCCCATTCACAGACAAATCAAGCCTCCTGGAAAAGGAGCCCAAATGAAAACATTTAACATTATCTATTGCCTGTGCCCCAAGACATGATGCATCATCGCTTCCTGAGCCAAGGTAGAATGTAACATTTCAGTCTAGATTTCGTGTATCCAATAATACCATTTCTAAACACAAAATTAAGAAAGAAGAGGAAGAAGATGGCAAAAGCACTCACACAGCATCATGTAAACCAGCGTTCAAAAGGATGGCGGCCAAGCACCAATGAGCTGTTTAAAAACCAGATTCAGGCACAGGTCCCATTCAATGGTTTAATGTAAAACACAGGCCCACAGCTTTTCCCAAAGCTCCCCATGGCTGGCGGAGAGACTCCAGGCTGCTGAGCAAGAAAACTGGCTTCAGGAAGGACAGCCGATGGTGACAGGAATGTATAAGGAGCAGTATGGGAAAAACAGCTTGCACACAGGCTTGGCCAAGCAAGAAGAGATACTCCAAGCCTACAAGCACGTGGCAGCTCCATCCTTCTAAAGCTTGCTGCAACAGAGATCAACTGGCACAAGAAAACTCTCATTTATTTAGGAATGATTCTAGGTACTTGATTCTACATGCTTTTCCTTTAGGTATTAGGAAAATAATATCCTAATATTATATCATATATATCCTAATAAAGAAATTCTTTATTGTGGGGGTGCTGAGGCACTGGCACAGGGTGCCCAGAGAAGCTGTGGCTGCCCCATCCCTGGCAGTGTTCAAGGCCAGGTTGGACACAGGGGCTTGGAGCAAGCTGCTCTAGTGGAAGGGGTCCCTGCCCGTGGCAGGGGTTGGGGCTGGGTGAGCTTTAAGGTCCCTTCCAACACAAACCAATCTATGCTTGTAGAAAATGAACATGAACAGCAAAAGGTGTGGAAGCAAAACACATACAGAGGTGTGGAAGGAAAAGATACCCATCACAGACACCTAAAAAACTCGCTATAGCTTAGCTCAGCCACCCACAAAAGCCATTTAGGTGAGGGATGTGGCATCAGCACACACTGACATGAAGTTCTAACCCATATTATCTCACCCATAAAGATATTCCACTCAGCGTCCAAGTCGCCTTGGTTGGCCAAGCAGCCTCTCATGACGTTAAAGCAGTAGTTGTAGCAGGGTTTCACCGACACCAGACCTCGGCAGTGGGGGCAGTACATCATTTTCAACAGCGCCCGTGTCCCCTGCGGCGTGGGGTTCACCTGTACGAGACAGAAAGGGGAAAGGAGAACAGAATTAGTCCTTGGTCAATACAGCAAAACCCCTATGCATTTACCCCAGGGTGGGTTGGAAAAGATCTGTGCAGAGGAGATGCAATGTGGTCGGGCCCCCACCCTCCAGTCAGAGCTCCCCTTTACGTGGTCCAGAGATCTGGGGAGCAGATGATGGGTTTGCAAATACACTGCAATGCACCTTGTGCCTTGTGGGACCTGCACAAGGACAGGCACCCCGAGGGGCCACGCAGTGCTCGAGCAAAACGTGAGCAACCCAAAAGGCACGACGCAAGGCTGCATGATCCAAGTGCTGCTGCAAACACACACTGAACATGATGACGCTGGGATGTCCTGGGGACAAAGCAGCTGACACGGGGTGCTTACCTCTGTCCCTGCACCAAACCCACCCAGTGTGCCTGCCTTCTCCTTGGCAATGCGGCTCTGCCCAGACAATTGCCCAGCAGGGCTCTCCAGCAGAGAGACCAGCTCCTTTATCTTACATGCTGCTCCAGCAACACAGCATTTACATGACACATACCCGGGTTCATTTACACTCAGCACTCATCATGCTAAGTAACACCATTCCCCACACCCAACCGAGGTGGCAGCTACAGCCAGCAGATGAGGACAAGCCGGGAGGACCCTCGAAGCCCATGTGCAGCCACTGGGCGTGCAAGCGGAGCTATCTGCAGCAGGCACGTCACCCCCTGAGCCCTCCACAGGGCTGTTTTCCAACGTGACTCATGGTCATTCATGTTTGATTCACTCCCTGGCCCAGCTTCAAAACATTCATTGAAACCATTTCCACCCAGCCGGTCTGAGGAGCATTAGCTCCAGCATCACGTACCAGTGCCGGCCACGTGGTGGGTCCATCTAAAGCACTGAAGAGAGAAGCTCCCCAAAGAGCAAGTTTAAGTGTTAATTAGTCACACATGAAATGGAAAATTAAGATGCCATCAGAGATACACTGACAAAATAGAAGCGGTTTCTGGTGTTTAAAGCAAATGTGCTCAAGACTTCTTGTAAGGCATTTATGGAGAGCGCTGTAAATAGGTTACGATCCAAGACTGTGCTGAAGGAGGAGACACACACACAGCCCTAAGGAAGAGAGAAGTTATTCAGTACAAACAGATGGAGATGGGGATGGCCTCCACATCTTATCTGCTGGAGGACTGAAATCAACTTCATGGCAGAGGACAACGGGACTGAATGGCGCAAAAGGAGACTCGAGATAGAAAGCTGTTTGTGGTGATGGAGTCTCACTCAGATGCTTCAGAGCATATATATATATATGTATCTCTGTGTGTGTGTGTATATATATATATATATATGCATATAAATATATTTGGAAGGCGCAGCAGGAGCAGGAGCCCCAGCAGAAAGCTCCCTATTGGGGCAGGGTAGCTTTAAAGCTGAGCTTAGTTCAAACACTGGGAAGAGCTCAAGCAACAGAAATCAGCCAAATCAGATGATTTATAGTTGGAAAACTGAAAACAGACAAATGTAAAGATATCATCTGCCATCCAGATGGTGCAGCCTTTGCATAACAAAAAAGTTGCAGGGGGAAGAGGGAACCAAATCACATATTCCACCCAGAGACAGAGCTCTGAAGGATGCCCCAGTTTAGCAGCTTAGTCGTTTGTCTGATAAAACTCCCTTCCTCTGTCACTTGGTGGAAGGTGCCAGGACCTCCACACCTAGTCCTTATGGCTATGAGCAGATCCCAGCTATTCTAGCACTGCTGTTCCACATCCCCTTTGGATGGGATTTCCCCTGGAAAATGCTGATAGCACCAGCAGGTGCCAGAGCAGTTTGAAATGGGACAAGGACAGGAGACTTCCCCAACCCTATCATGGAAAGCTGTAGTCCTATGAAAGGGATTGCCACACAGCAGTGACCAAGGAGGACCCTTCCCAGCTTAGGCTCCAAGCTCGCCCCATCAGTGCTGAGCGGCTGCAATCCTGCAGCATCCCCCCCCCCCTTGATATTTCATAGGGGTTGATCTCTATGAATCCCAACAGATGCAGTGGAAACTGAAGCCGCTTTCCCACATTCCACAGCGGAGGACATGGGATGGTCACTTGGGTTAGATCCTTTGAACAAAGACCCTGGATGATTTTAAAAGCAAATGGGTTTTGGCTTCCTTCCTCAGACAGGTTTGTGTCTCTGCTGCCCTACACAGAGCTGAGTAGAGAGTGATGGCAGAAGACAAACCCCAGGCAGCAGTGACCAAACCGAGCGCTCACTACTGATGGATGTAACCCACAGGGAAGCTGTCTGTAACAGTTGTAAGTGAAGAGGAAGACAAAAGGGAAATCCATCAGTGCAGCTCTCGCATTTGACGGTGTCAGGAAGCAACAGCAAGGTGCAAGGCAAGAGGAACTCCAAGAGAGAGTTTTGGGGAAGATTAAGAGCAATTACAGCCCATTACAATAGTGATAAATGCTTCACTGCTGCCCATCACTGCAATGAGAACCCTAGCCCTGGCAAGGGGCCCGGACCCGGTCCGGAGCAGCTCTGGATCTGTCAGTGGGATGTGCCATATGTTGCACTGGCAATTCTTCACAAGCTTTTCATGTTCCCTCTGCCACACCAGGTGCAAGCTCTTAACACACCATTGTGTGTAACAGTAAACCCAGATACGCTTTGTTCTGGGGTTGTGTTTATCTTGGAAAGCAACTCGAGTTCATTCAAACTCTACTCTAGAATGACCCTCAAAACCAAATAATCTCCTTTCTAATAAAGCAGAGTCCCAAAGAAAGCTTTATTTGCTGAAGAGGATTTACCCTGGTAGATTTGAGCGCAGGTAGTACTACCCTGCAGTGCACAGAGCCTGTAAAACCTTCTAATGGGAGTAAATGCACTCCAACCCCTTCCTTTTATCTTGAGAAATTTATCTGCTTTGCCTGGAGTTCCACGCCACTGCAGCAATCCATCACCCTGTGGTTTCATCATGTAAATTACAATTTGTCCAGATCTCTATGCTTTGTGAAACGTGAAGATTAAAGGCTGCTAACAGATGCGTTCTGGCACCAATCTTCACATTCTTATCAATCTTGCTCCTTAAAAATACAGATTTGCACACAACCCCCAAGAATTAAGTGAAAAGCAAACAATTTGAATGTCTCACATCATATTTATTGAGATATTCCCTGTGCTGGTCTCAGCTGGGATAGGTAATTCTCTTCCTAATACCTGCTGCAGTGCTGTGCTTTGGTTCTAGTCTGGGAATGATGCTAGTAACACACTGATGGTTCAGTTGCTGCTTGGTAGCACTTACCTTGAGCAAGGACTGTTCAGTCTCACGTTCTGCCAGTGAGGGGGGGCACAAGAAGCCAGAAGGGAGCAGAGACAGGACGCCTGACCCACACAATCCAAAGGGATGTTCCATACCACAGCAAGTCATGCCCAAGATATAAAGTGGGGGGAGTTACCTGGAAAGGACCAACTGCTGCTCAAGTCAGGCTATGTACCGGTCAGCAGGTGCTGAGCAGTTGGATTGGGCATCGCTGCTGGCCAGGGTTTGTTTTCCCTTTCTCCTTTTAGTTTTACATTCTCTCCCCTTGTTATTTCCCCTTATCATTATTATTAGTAGTAGTATCATATTGTACTCTACTTGCTAAACTGTTCTTATCTCAACCCGCTGGTTTTACATTCCACTGCGTTTAAACCACAACACCCCCGCAGCTCACCCTGATGGGTGAAGGTACAAGCATGCTCTTTTAAAAATAAGATGCTCTTGGTACAGTACAATCTGGTTTTTGTTGGTACCTTGTCACACCCACCCCATGCCACAGTCTCCCGCAAGGGAAATGCTTTGCTTTACATCCTTTGCCTTTTCCAGCTCCTTGGCAATTGCATCTGGATTCATACATCCCGTAGAAACTCCACCATTAACATACGCAGCTATCAAGTGAAATGCCTTGTTAACAGCCTACCACAAAGCCACCACAACTCAAAGTAAACCTGTCCTTGCAAGTTCAGAGAAGCAACCGGTTTCTTTATCCCCACTTCTTCCTAAGGCAAGGAATAGCTGAGGAAGGATGACAGAGCTCCAACCATGGATGGTCCTGCAGGGAGCTCCCACCAGCTGCCAGCCAGCCAGAGCCACATTCTGTTCCCTCACTCTACCCTCAAGTTAACATTAAGAATGTTAATAACAACATTTAGAAACCTGTCAGCTTTATTTTCCCAGCTTGCACAACGGCAGCGTTGCCATGCCAGCAGCACAGCCACCAAACCCCATAAAAATCCAGCAACTTGAAAATAAACTGTGGTGAAATCACTTTTGATTTATACTGTTTCCTTTGCAAAAATAAATACGTAAATGAAAATCAGGGCGATACTGGATACGGAAGACCAAAGGGATCACTTCTCAGTGGCATGGATTTCCTGATTTCCGAAGCTAACTCCAAAGCTGACTGAAGGGGCTGTGGGATGCTCCAGGTGAGATGCCCGTTGAGACAAGTGTTCTGGGACCAACACAACCTTCCTTGCATCACTTCTTCCCTCCCTCGGTGTTGTGCAAGAGCATCATCTTGGCACACACTGGTCCAGACACTCGGCTCACTGCAAAGCAGATCATCACTTGGGAGGCTCTTGGTTTGCTTCCCCACCCCAAATATTCCAATGAAAGTGTTTTGGAATTAACTACGCCTTTAACCAATTTTCTGGCCTGGTGCTAACACATGAATAATTTCAAAAGCATCTGGTTCAACCACACATTTGGGCCTCCAAAGCCTTGCACAAAGGAGCATATTTAGGAGGGGATTTTGGGAACTGTGCAGCTCTGTGCCTCGGTATTCACTGATGGTGACATCTGCTGCAGCTTTGTCTTGTGCAAGGAGTAGTTCAAGAGTGCATTTATGCTTCATTTCCAACTTACACCTTGTTTCCCCACATGATGTGACACTGCAAGAGGAATAGCAGAGCTCCTAAGAAGCACACCACCAGTTGCTCAACCTGCTCAGTCGTAATATTAACGTGTC